ATATTTTGAAAATCAATAACAAAAAGATTAATAAAATAAAAATAAGTCCTAAGTATATCAAGTATATAAAAAATGTATAAGTTAAAATAAAATATAAGATTACTATCAAAAGATGTAAAGTATAAAAAAATTATTAAAATAAAATTAATTTAAAATTAAAGAGTGCCTATGGAGACCATGAAAATAATATGCAAATATCGAGAGACGGAGAAAGAAGAATATTTAGTTGGTGGCTCAAGGTCTATGGAAAAAAATAAAAAAGTTACGCGCTAAATAAGGCTTATAAGTTTCTAATAATAGTTTGTCATTGTGAAGATAATATTAATTAAATTATTTTATTCTGATAGTATGTCGATTGATAATATACGATGACAAATTATTTATTCATGCTATAATTTTATATTTTATCCAGATAAATATTTGTATAAAACTTATATCAGCATTTCATACCAAGTTCAAAGAAATGGATTTGGATGATATAAAAATAAAAATATAATTTATCATATTAAAAGAAAAGTTATAATTTTTATAAATATTTATTATTATGTATATGTTTTTTTCGACAAAAATGTTGAAGCAGCTACTGACTATTTGACATGGTAAGTAAACTCTCATGCATATAACTGCCATACTTTAATTCTCTGTTGTGAATTTTTTAAATATCAAACCAAACTGCTTTAAGGCTATTATGATATGATGAAAATTAAACATGTTTTTATGAAAAGTTTTTTTAGCTTTCAATATATTATAAATTTATGTTTCAAATTGTTTTTTACAAATTTATAAATGTTATTAAAACATAAATATTTATAATATTTTTACAACATTTTTTATAACATTTTATAAATATTTATGATTTTTTTAGCTTTCAACATGTTATAATTTACTAACTTGATATTTGGGTTAACATTTTTAATAACCAACATAAAAAAAAACTTAACTAAAAAAATGATGCGATAAAATTTTGAGAAAAGTTCATAAAAAAAAAATTGAACAGTTAAAACATGTTAAATGAGCATTGTAACTAAAATGAAATTAATATAAAAAAAAATAAAAAGAAAAAATATTCATATAAAATAATTTAACTTGATGTCTATGTTACCTATTTTGTTAGAAACAACAAAAGAGCTTAATAAAAAAAACATTCATAAGTATATCAAACATACAAAAATAAAGTATATAAATAAAAATAAAAAATAAAATTACTATCAAAAGATGTAAAGTATATAAAAATTATAACAAAATTAATTTGAAATTAATTTCAACAAATCATAATTTAACAATAAATAACTATCTAAAGTTGTAATAGGTTTATAGAAGTAAAATATACAATGATTAATATACTGAGTGTTTCAGATTTTAAAAACTAACAAAGAAAAACACAACATAAATAACTTTACATTCAAAATTTAATAAGTTCTAAAATCTGATTTTTATACATAGTCACTACTTATATATGAACCAACATTAATAACATATGACTAACACGTTCTAAAATTTTATTTAAATAATAAAGTATGAGAGAGTTATGAATCAAACTCAAATTGATATTTGTAGATAAAATATTCAAATCAAAGCATACATATTGCACACAAAAGATAAAAATAGTGAAAAATAATGTGAAGACTCCACAATGCCGATCCTACAAGTATAAAAACTAAAATTATCAAATATTAGACTGCAAAAAATAAATCTCAATGGAAACTGAAAAAAGATATAAGCTAAAACTCATGGATGACCTGATGAAGAAGGAAGTAATGGCTTTGCATGATCATTGCAACTTCCTAACAAAACTAAATGTGAATCAACATGAATCATGGATTATAAATGCATATGTACACAACATCACATTCAATAAAAAAACTAAATATTTAAGCACATAAACTTTAGAGAAAAAAGAACTGTAGAAATCCTATGAAAATCAAAACAAAATACCAAGATCTTAGCAAAAAAACATTTCTCTAAATCAAACGTATGTGTATGTCAAAGTTGGATAATTTGATAGGTGTTATTGTTATGATTTCACATAATAACATTTAAAACATTATAAATAAAAATAGGAGAAAACTACACATTATATTTTAATTTCTCTTATATAAAAGAATTTTTTTATAAATCTCTTACAGTTTTCATAATTTACAAGATAATATCTTAAAAAATTAAATTAAACTATTAATACATACTAGCGCGTAGCGCGAGTTATAAACCTAGTATTTTTAAAAGTTTGACATAAAATCAGGATTTTGGCAAATTCAAATTTCAAAAAATGATTAATACAAAACAGCATTTACAGTCCCTTTTGATCAATAGTAACCGAATGTAATAGTTTTTGGATTAAAAAATGCACCTAGTCAATTATAGAAAATCATTAATGGTATTTTTCTAAATATTCAAAATTTTGTATCGTCTATATTTATAATATATTAATATTTTAAAATTCTTTAGACGAATATTTTAAACATCTTAAAATATTTTATTATATTACAAAAAAAAGTAAGTTTATTATGTCGAAAACAAACATATCTTTATTCCGAACTAAAATCCAATTTCTAAATCAGTACATATCACAAGGTATAATAAAATTTTAAAAAAAATATTTTGAATTAAACAAATTTTTCTAACAAAAATTTGGATAAAATCTAAGTGGCAAATAATACTAAATATATAATTTCTTCTAAATGGATAAATAATCTAATAGTCATGATCTTATGGTGTTCAGGAGTATTTTGCAGGATATTATTTATGAAGAGGTGTATTCGTCGTCTTAGATGAACTTCTTCTCACAGATTACTTAGCAAACGGTGAGTCGGACTCTGGGAGAACAAGAAATGGTTTCATTTCCAAAAATTCTTCGACGTCCAAGTCAGATGCGTCATTTCGGGAACATATACTCAAAATGGTACCTTTTTGATAGATTACGGGGTGGAATATCACTTTCGAAGAGCATGATACTCATCTGTTGTTTTAGTTATGACCAGAGTGGCGGTAAACAGTGATGAAGGTGGGGTAAGATAGGGGAAGAAGGTGAAAGTACCTCCCATAGAATATCATTGTTTTGATCGTTAATTACATTTGCTTCTCAAAACTCGAACATCGTTGGGTAGCTTGATGTTGGTCGATAGATCATAATTCCCTCGCTTTGTTGGATCCTGAAACCGGTCTGGGTCTTAACTATCTGCTTGACCACTAGGCGATCAACAATCAGCTGCACGGATATGCTATCGCGTTTTGGCCTCCGTCGTTGTCCCATCTTCGGGGAAGGGCGGCTTTTTCAAGGTAGGAGCTATCTATGACTCAACTCAGTTTGGGGAACTTTGGGCAACGAGGGTACTGACAAGGCCCTCCTTGGCGGTCCTCATACCTTGCCTCGCCCCATCCACTCGTGGTAGGGGCATTTTTCTATTTTTGTAGCTGGTTGGTTGGTGAGAGACCGTCTTCAACCGAGCAGGTCGATTCTCATTCTGGGGTGTTAGCCTGGCCTTATTATGTTGGTTACTTGGTTGTGACATCAGTGTTTTTTATGTGACAAGCTCAATTTGACCTTGCTAGACAAGGTGGGCCCAGGGTGATCTTTTAATACCGTGTCACCTCATTTTGTCGGAGCGCTCCAGCCTGTCTAGCAGGCTTTTTTTTCCTTTTCGAGCAAGAGCGGCTCACGCGGGTGGCTCACAAGTCACAAGAACCAACTTCCAGGCTGCTTCGAGGGTTTGGGTGACATCTATCGCCTTTATGTCTCTTCTGTCACCCTCTTTTGTTGGCATATTTTGGTTAGCACATGAGCTTCAGTCCTTCACCAGCCATGCTACTTGGGTAATACCTTCTTGGGAGGGGGTGACCCGCGGGAGAGATTCTGGACCCGACCTTTGGATGGTTTGGCGGATTCTAACGCCTGCTCCTGGTTTCCTCTAGGGGATACCATGCTTATATGTCGCAGTTGCTTACCTCGTGACTGTTGTCTGCTCTTGAACGCTATGGACAGGCTCTAGGCCCTTCTTCCATTGGGGGATGAGTAACGTCTAGGTAGTCAATCGTGTCCGCCGTCCGGGACCTGAAAATATTTAGCAAACAGTGAAACAGCCTCTAGGAGGATAGAGAAGGGATTTTCCTCTGAAAGTTCTTTGACGCTTAAATCACATACGTCCTACGAGAACATATACTCAAGGTTTTAGATAGATCCTCATACATCTGAAGATTATGATACTCATCCGCTGTTTTAGTGATAGTCGGGGTGGCCGTAAACCGTCATGAGAGTGGGGTTAAAATTCCTCTTGACAAGTAAGATAGGGGAAGAATATAAGTACCTTCTGGATAATCAATTAGACCGCACCTGGGGAGTGCTGTATCCAGTCAGAAATTCCAGGTACGAGCTCTAGAATATCCTGTCGGAGGGGATTTGGTCATGGAGAAATCCCTTAAAGGCTCTCCAACCTCTCCTCCTTATATTTCGGTAAAGTTTCTCTCTAACCTTAACCGTTCGTCTGACCTCCACCGACCTCCCTCTTTTCTGAGTCTTGAGATCTTATTTATACTACTTCTGACTGATATCTTATTAGTTTTGTGTACCCCATCAAATAGGCCTACATTATAAGGAGTTGGTCAACCGCCTTAGCATCGAACTCCTGTCATGATTTGGAGTGTCCACAACATCTCGTTTGAGGCCTACCGAGGCATGTTTGATAAGAGTCTTGTTGAATAGATTCATTTTCTAACGTGGAGCCTTCTCATTGGCTCTCGAAAAATCGATTATGTTTTGGGATTGCAATCCAATGCGGGCAAACAATTAATTATTTCTCCAAAAATAAATGTTCACCTAAAGGTTTTGGTAGTTGATAAAGAATTACATGATCTTGTATAAGTTGATTTTAAACAGAATTGTCTACTAATACTAAAAACTCAACTTAGCACCATATTTAAGCTCTCTCAAACCTCCCAACTTAGCTTCTTGTTAAGATGAAAATTTTTATTGATAAAAATAACAATTGCTCTGGTTTTCATATCAGCAACATTTCCTCAAAATTCAGGTAAACAACATTACTGTCACTTCCACTCTCAGACATGAGCAATCTCACACAATACATATGTATCTTCTTTTCATAAACAGATCAAGCGGCCACTGGACCATGGTGTGTCGCCGATGAACAGATGCCGGACCATGTGTTACAAGCAGCCTTCGATTGGGCTTGTCAACATAGAGGAGCAGCATACTGTAGTAAGATTTAGTATAACCAGCCTTGTTTCTTGCCCAACACTCTTAATGACCATGCCTTTGTTGTCCTTAACAGTTATTACCAGCACCATAGGCATGAAGGCAGCACTTGTTACTTCAACAGCGCTGCAGTGATCACCCACACCGACACTAGGAAGCAACTTTATCTAAACCCTGTTCTATTTTATCTAAACCAGATCTTGAACCATCACTGTCTGATTATCTAATGATTTAATAGATAGGTCATGATGATTGCTACTTTGAGTATATCACTAGTTCTATGGAAAGAACCAAGATGAAATGAAAGCATCTTCAGCAGCTAATGAAACAGCTCATTGTACTACACTAAACACCATGGCGGCTTTTGTTACTTTAACAGCGCTGTTGTACCCACACCAACCCTTGTAAGCAACTTTATCTAAACCTTGTTGTGTTTTAAGACCTTTAACCCTCTCTGTCCGATTATCTAATGATTTTGATTGATAGGTCATGATTCTTGCCACTTTGAGTATGTGATTCTAAGGAAAGAACCAAGAAGGAATGAAATCATCTTGTGCTAATGAAACAGCTTATTTACTAAACTACCAATGTAGAATATATGATAAGATATATGGTACTAAGATTACATCAATTTGGTCATTTACATAATCTCTTGAATAACAAAGTGAACAAGTAAACAAAGAAGCTTACATAATCTTGTCATTTACATTTATTAAGCAATCTCTTGGGACAAAGACCGGCAAAGAAGCAGGACCACAATTTGACCGTAAAGATGATTTGAAATTGTTTTAGAAAAGTAGAGTTGCCCATGCAGCAATGAACGCAAAGCCTCCGAATGGTGCCAAGGTAGAAAACTTCCTGTCCTCACGCAGTGCCACCATGTAACACCTACATCATTACGATAAACATGCAAGTTTCAGACCTAGAGAAAGACCACTAAGGCAAAATTTTGAAACTGGAATTCACAAGTAAGCAATCTGAAGTATAACCACTTCACAAAGAAAACATTATTCTCACTTTTAGACTGAAAAATGAAGACCATAACGGGCAAACTATTTCATAACAAGCATGGATCATGGAACCAAACCATTAAACTCCGATATAGAGACAGACCAATGTTTTTCAAACTGATTCAGAGCTGGAAACAAGTCGGTTAACATCTCTAAATGTGTTTCCCAAGCCAAGAGGAATTGTGTCAAGCGTTTCTAGTCATAGATTAGAGTCTTACTGAATCAGTCAAATAGACAATTAGCATAAAAGCTCAGCCCAACACATCCATTTACCACAAAAACTCCGATACAGAGACAGACCAATGCTTCTCAAACTGATTCAGAGTTGGAAACATGTCTAAATAGATAACACAAGCCAAGAGGAATTGTAACTAGTGTTTCTAGTGCCATAGATTAGAGTCTCACTGAATTAGTCAAATAAACATGATACAAAACTATAATCTCAATCACAAGACATTCAACAAACATTAAGCACAAAAGCTCTACCCAACACATCAATTAAAAAGTTTAAATTGAAGAATTCGAGAACAATGCCGACAATCCAGAAAATCGAAAAATAACAACTTACGTGCCGGAAAATGCTACAATCCCAGCAGTCAACAAGCCACCAAACTGAGAAATGACAACATATGTCAATGTCAAAGTACAAAATAAACAGCTCCATCAAACTAGCAAAGGACAAGAAAATGGAGAAACAGAGGAAAGAAGAGAAGCTTACTATGTTGGGATGTTTGGTGCTAGGAGCAGAAACAAGAGCAGCAGTGTGTACCAAATGGTAAAGAGAAGCCGTTTGCCAAACCTGAAAAGATCACAACATTTTTTAAGAGAACTCCAAATCAAAATCCAACAAGAATGCTAAATGTTAAAAAAAAAAAGCAACTAAATTCAGAATCTGAAACCTGTTTGTAAGAAGGGTTTTCTGGCTTAAAGACATGAGCACCATAAGTTCCCAAGCCAAGAGCAGCCATACCTACAGAGAGAAGACGCAATCAGTACCTTTCGTTACAAGATCTAATCAAAGATCTTTACTTCTTACCCGAAACGGCGGCGACTTTGTGCCATATACGAGGATCCATCGATTGTAGGTTGCTTCTCACAGAGTTTCCCATTTTGACCAAGAATTTAGAGAGATTGGTCATATCGATTGACTCAAGTTGGGCGATCGGGTCATATTCGGTTTACGCTTCAGGAAAAACGGCGTCGTATAAGCCGTGCTGGTTTTTTCTTTACAGCCACTTAAAGATTCTTCCTTTTGCTTCAACTTCGAGTTTCAGTTAGATCTCTATCTCCCTTGCAGCATCAAATCTGTTGTTGATTTCGACTCTAAGATCACTTTTCAGAACTACACAAGGTTTGTTTCTTCCCCCAAAAAAACTAATCTTTCTTTTCTTTTCTTCTTCTTCTTCTTAACAAAACTTGAAACTTTTTCTTCATTAATAACAGTTTTGCAAATTCGATGCAGTAAAAACGAAGAGATATTAATAAGTTTGATTGTGGTTCGTTGTATATGGTTGCTCTCTATCTCTCTTTTTTAAGGTTTACAGTTAACTCTGTAAAGAAGTTATCAAATTTTGTTGCTTCGAGAATCGTATGATTGGAATTTGAAAGTGTTTAGGATTGGAACAGTTCTTATGTCTTGTTTATTGGGAAATGATTACTATGTAGATTCATAGATACAACGGTTCATTTCCTTGTTAGAGCTTCATATCTGATTAACTTGTTTATGACTACTTCTACAGGTGTGCAACTTTATATGACTGTCTCCTGCTTTTAGAGATATAGCTTATTCTGTGTGATATGAAGATCAGATAACTACAGGGCAACAAGAATGTTGCAGCCACTGCCAGATATATCTGAGAGTATCAATGACGTTGTCTGTCATGAACTCTCCATGTGGCCTGAAGATGCAAATGATTTGCTGTTGATAGTGGATGCAATATCAAGGGGAGACTTGAGATGGGTACTTGCTGCTTGTGCTAAAGCTGTCTCTGAGAACAACCTTCTAATGGCACGATGGTGTATGGGCGAGTTACGCGGCATGGTTTCCATATCCGGTGAGCCGATGCAGAGACTAGGAGCTTACATGCTAGAAGGGCTTGTGGCTAGGCTCTCTGCAACTGGTACTTCTATATACAAGTCTCTCCAATCAAGAGAACCAGAGAGTTATGAGTTCTTATCTTATGTGTATGTTCTCCATGAGGTTTGTCCGTATTTCAAGTTTGGTTACATGTCAGCTAATGGAGCTATTGCCGAAGCAATGAAAGATGAGGAGAGAATTCACATTATAGACTTTCAAATTGGACAAGGGAACCAGTGGGTTTCACTTATCCAAGCGTTTGCAGCTAGGCCTGGAGGGGCTCCGAGTATTCGAATAACCGGTATTGGTGATGGTTCCAGCTTGGTTACAGTAAAGAAAAGACTAGAGAGACTCGCAAAGAAGTTTGATGTCCCATTCAAGTTCAATGCTATTTCAAGGTTGTGTTGTGAAGTGGAAGTAGAAAATCTTGATGTTCGAAAAGATGAAGCCCTTGGAGTAAACTTTGCCTACATGCTTCACCACTTGCCTGATGAGAGTGTAAGCATGGAGAACCACAGGGACCAGTTGCTAAGGATGGTGAAGAGTTTATCACCTAAAGTTGTCACTCTAGTGGAACAAGAATGCAACACAAACACTTCCCCTTTCCTTCCTAGGTTCCTTGAGACGTTAAGTTACTACACGGCGATGTTTGAATCTATCGACGTGATGCTCCCGAGGAACCACAAGGAAAGGATCAACGTGGAGCAGCACTGCCTCGCGAGGGATGTAGTCAACATTATAGCTTGTGAAGGAGCCGAGAGGGTCGAAAGGCACGAGCTTCTCGGGAAATGGAAGTCGAGGTTTTCCATGGTAGGTTTCGAGCCATACCCTTTGAGCTCAATCGTTTCAGCCACCATTAGAGCCCTCTTGAAAGATTACAGCAACGGGTATGGGGTTGAAGAAAGAGATGGTGCTCTGTACCTTGGATGGATGGACAGAATCTTGATCTCATCTTGTGCATGGAAGTGAAAAAACAATTTTCATCTTCAACAGTGTAATGCGAAACAAAGACAGAATTGGAAGAAATAATAGATGGTATTGTCTCAATACCATTAAATAAGGTTGGATCAAATCATATACATCCCCAATTCTACAACTATTACACAGGCTCCATCAACAAAGATAAGACTCTGGTTGTGGTACCATCTCTGCCTGTAACTCTTATTTGAACCAAATGCAAGTGACTAATGACACAGGCTTATATATAAAGGTGGTAAGCAATACTATTCCATTAAAACACTAATCTAATCTTGGTTCTTCCGCCTGAACAGCCAACTGTACAGCCTATTGATCATATCGCCTGTACTAATCTATGTTAAACAGCCGTATATAATTTACCACCCAATACACTCCAAATGCTTTAGCTTTGACCAGACTCTGCTATGGGCGTCTGTTCCTTCCTCTCAATGGTTCTTGCTGTATTCTCATGACAAGCAGTGGTTTTATCATCTGACGTTGTTACATCTGATCTGTCTTTCACTTCCTCCTTTGGCTTCGCGACCAAGACCGGACCTTGATCAAGACTTTTCTCGAAGCCATTAGTCTTGGCTTTCTTTCTTGAGTGAAGATCTTCGACGCGCTGGTCTTTTGCAATGGTTTCAAGAGCTGAGCTCTGTGTGGTTTTGTTGCCTTCTGTGTCTTTACCACTCGGCTCTTTCTCATCAGCTTCCGAGTCCAGCGTGTTGTTATGAGTAACAATCCTTCCAGGTGGCATATCGTGGTCGTGTTTCCCCTCGTACGTCGTTATAAGCAGCTTTGTGTCATGAGATGACCTCTCTACATGTTTCTTGACAGGGCATCCAGTGCTCGAGCATCTATAGTAGCTCCTAATACACATAACATCAAACAGAGAGTATCAAACATAAGTTTTGAAGCGATATCTTTAACATGTAATCAAACCAAATACCTTGGATATGGGCTGCCTTTCACTGATTTCTGACCATATTTACGCCATCGGTACCCATCATTCACAATATCAAACAGAGTCTGAGTGTGAACCACATTGCGTGATTCATTGCTTGACCTCTCCATTGCAAGATGCTCGATGCTCCCTCCTTTCTTCCTGATATATGTGACATAGACATAAGAAGCAAAACACAAAACACCAAATGGTGAAGCCTGATATCAATCATCAGTACCTTTTCTTTGAGACAGGACTATTACTATCCTTGTGAATGCTGTCTCCCTTAGTCCTACTTGATTGTAATATAGCGGTTTTCACATCATCAGCCGATGGAATAACTGAAACATGCAACCCTCCATGAATCTTAGGTGGTTCGGTTTTGCGATGTGTCTGAACGCTTGATCCAGATGATTTCTCTACAAACATGATACCATAAGAGAAAGGTTTCTTAATATACAGAAGTATGTGATCACTGTTCTTACCTTTACTCGCAGCTGTGATGAAGACATCACTTCGTTTATCTTGGTTGATAGGAACAGAACCACCAAGAGGCTTCGGATGATCATGCTCGCCGAAGTAAACAGTGTCCACGATTTGTCCACCGGGTGACCGTTCAAGCTGCTTCTTGGCTTTGCAGTTTGGGTGAGTACACCTGTAATAACTCCTCACAAACTCATTCCCTTTAACGAGTTTCTGTCCGTATTTCCTCCAGTTGTATCCGTCCTCCATGACTTTCTCGCGGATAAAGGGGCTACTTCCTTCTGAACCAGACTGCAAAGACAAGACGGTACTACTCTCAGGGATCTTTGGTGCTTTCTCTGAAGAAGCAGCATCTGATTCAGACGCGGTAGCAGGAACGAGTTGTAATAGCGTCTTGCGGCCTGAACATTGCTCGCTTTCACAGCCTTCAACGACGGTTTCGGTTCTAGTTACAGTAGTCACCGGTTCTGTCTCCATTTTATCAGTGACAACTGCTTTAGCCTCTCTTGGATTGGCTAGTTCCATGTCAGTACCCAAAACTTTTCCCACCTCAGCCATAACCACCAACAAAACTTCTTCACCAGCAATAGAAGAAATTCAACAAAGCTCAAAAGTCTGGAAGAAAAAACACGAGCAATCAATCAAACAAAAACAAAATTACTTCAGTGATAGGAACAAAATTTAGCATAACAATCACTTAGAGGATCATTTCCTGTGAGCATAACAGATTACGGCAATTAAATTACAATCTATGTTAACAAAGCTGAACAATTACATTCTTCTTAAAGCCTAAAAATTGATTGTTCCTATAATTTAGACTCAAGTAATATCAAACTCGTGTGAAGAGTCAACCTTTAAAGTCTACTTTGGAGTTTGGAGCCGCTTAAAATTTTTGCTTACTAACCAAACAACAAATAATTCTCTAATTGAGAATCATCGATTCCCCTTAAGCTTTAATAAGTAAAATTACACATAAAAAACTGTCGAATACGGATTCTCAAATAGCAACATGGTGAACAAGAACTCACCAGTGTTAGATAAATAAATAAAACCCAGACAAAAAAAAGCATTTTCCTAACTAATCCTAAACGAAATAATAAAAGTCGGCAAATTAGTTCCATTTTTTACGGATTTAGAGACGACGCAGCATCTGGATTCGCACGGAAATTAAGCATTTAATTTTAATTTAAAACTAAAGACTTTTATCGAATTTTAAACAATTTAAAGAAGGAAAAGAAAAGAATTTACCTAGCACAAGCATCGAGAAGATCATCATCATCCGACCAAATTAACACAAACCGCAGATTGAAAGCTTCTCAAGTTCCGGTAAGATCAAGAACCCGTAGATCGAAATCGAACAACTTCAAAATTGGGTTAAACTAAAGACAGAGAGAGATAAAAAGGGTCATGTCCGAAAATTCAGATTGGTTGGACTTGGAAGGACTATGGAGGAAGAAGAAAAAGAAGCTTAGAGAGAGAGAAGAGAGAAGTTGGGGAAGGAGAGGATATTATTCGGTGCGACGCGGCGCATGGAAGCATATATGGACGGAGTTAGATCTGCGGTTGATGATACGTTTGTGTAGTCTTGAGATGACATATATTCTCCCACTCACAAACGGCAAGCCGACAAATAAAGTAAGCATTGGGACCGACAGAGCCCAGTGCATAATAATCTCGTGTGTCTCATTAGTATTGTTGTGGTGGCCTATATTAGAGGGTCACAAAGTGGGATTCTGTAAGAGTATAGGGATCGGATTTTGTTAATATATAAATCAGTCTACTTTTCTAAATATATAAATTTTATAAAAATTCTTTAAAATAATAATCACTTACACTTTAAACTTTTAAAATTTTTAATTAATAATTTAATTTTTTTCTTAATTATTTTTTTTAATATATTAAACTATCAATCTAATTTTTTATGTTATACCAACATTTTTTTAAACGAAGCTACTAACTTAAATAGCAAAATATATTTTCTGGTAACAATATAGTTATTTTCCGATTACGAAAATCAAAACATCTGAATAAAACTGATAAATTATATCAAAAAATTATTTAGGCTATCTAAACTCAAAATCATAAAATCCTAAAATTTATCTTAAATCAATAGATTAAAAATGAGATTTACCTAACTCCAACTCCAACACATCTATTAGAGTTAATTTAACCCATGCTCTTATTTTCATTATCGAAGAACTACTATATTATCTCTATTATTTCCAAAAAATATCGTTATCTAATCTTACGGTTTCTTCTAAAAATATTTGATACAATAAAAAAAAGCTAGATCAATAGTTTGATATGTTATGAAGATTTAAATATTATTTAAAAACACTCAAAATTTTAAAAATAAGTAGCTGTCATCTAAAGATTTTATGTGATTTTTTTGCCAATAATATATAAAAAATATAAATTAATAAACTTTTTTTTTATTGAACACATCTACTTATAAATTTTCAAAAAAAAAAAAAAAAAATAAGATATTCATATAAACTAGGCAAGAACATTTATGAACATGGATGGATTAGTATTCCACAACAAATTGCGGATTGCTTACAGGAAGCGTGATCGTCTGAGTAGTGGAGCTGAGTCTCTAAGTTTCATCTTCTGGGGAAATGACCGGTATGCAGTCCCGAGATGAAAGTCTGATTGGCTCTCGTGCACAGTAAAAACAAGTAAATCGGACCTCCGTGAGAACTGGAAAGGGATTTCTATTCTAAAGATTCTCTGATGCTCAAATTAGATCACGCCCCACCGGAGACAGGTACTCGGGAGGGTAGATATGTGATGGTGGTGATATGGTTTGGGTATCCCGTCTAATGATCGTGATACCTGATACAAGCACCAGATGAGTAATGAGATGGGACGAGGGTTTGACCGAACCGCCGAGGAACTCAGGCTATGGGATCAAGATTTGGGATGGGACGAGAGTGTGATGGTCGGTACGAGGCGTGACATGGGGACAGTATGGGTGGTATGGTATGAGTGGAACGGCTGGTATGATGTGTGACGATAGTATCGTAATGCAGGACGATGGTGTCGTAATACGGGACGAGGGCAGTACGAGGCGTGACGACGGGACGGTACGGGTGGTATGGTATGACGTGACGATGATTTTGGTCGAGAGGTCGAGGAACTCAAACGATCTGACTGGGGGTTGAACTGACCAAATGGAATGGTCGGGTGGATCAAAGTGTACCACAAAGATGATGAAATGATCTTTGATACAACACGGTTTCTCTTTGATTTTGGAGGACTGGTCTCAACAAAATTAAGGAGAATCACAAGTTTTGATTACAAACTTTGTGAAAGAAAATTCGGTTCTTTATTAAAATCAAGGTAAAAATACAAGGCTGTGAGAAGGGACCTTATAAAGTGGTCCGAACAGCTATGCCCTTCTGGGGGACTTGAAGCAAAATTACACTTATTGAAAAAAAACATTATTGGAAAGGAAAAGCGAAAATGATGGCTAACAACGCCTTAGCTAATTAATAGAAAAATTAAATTATTGGCTGGCTAAAATCAAACATAAGGAGAAACATAAAAAGGTTAGTCAAAATGAATAATATGATTTAACGAAACAAAGACTTACCCTCTTTGGTTTGGGCGTGAATAAGTGTGATGTATTTCTCCCTTGACCATGATCTTGAGCTTTAAGTGTTGTTCTCAAGTGTAGAAATAACAAATAAGTTGGCGTGGACTTTGTTTGATATTAAAGGCCAGCTTACTTGTGATTTTGTTGGGTCGGTTGCCTTTAAGATGTCTCATGTATCGTCCCATGCAGCTTTAGCTATTAAACTTGGGCTTCCTTCCTTAGAATCAGTCATGGCTCGTAAAATGGCTTGGTTGTACTTGTTTTAAAGTACACGGGCCCGTTGTCTCGTTATAACGCCTTTATTTGGAACCGGTATGCCTACTTCTTGTAATTGAGGCTCGGTTAAATTTGGTTCAGTTGGGATGTCCTCATCATTCCCTCCATCTTGAATAGATTTTGACACCAAAATGTTTTCATCTGCAAGAAAATGAGCTAAATCAGTAACATTGAATGTAGAGGAAACATTGAACTCACCTGGTAATTCAAGACGGTAGGCATTGTTGTTGATATTCTCTAAGACTTTGAATGGGCCATCTCCTCTCGGTTTAAGCTTTGAGCTTCTTTGGTCGGGAAATCTTTCTTTCTTCATGTGCAGTCAAACCCATTCTCTCGGTTGAAATACTATCTCTTTTCTTCCTTTGTTGGCTTGTTTTGTATATTTCTTCGTCTGCTTCTCTAGATTCTCTCGGGTCTTTTGATGTAGTTTCTTGATGAACTTAGCTTTCTCCTCGCCAACTTGACTGACCGCTTCTGCTGGAGGTAAAGGAGTTAGATCAAGAGGAGTGGTAGGATTGAAGCCGTATACAATCTCAAAGGATGACATCTTAATGGCTGAATTTTGAGCTCTGTTGTAGGCGAACTCAATGAAGGGTATACACTCTAGCCAGTTCTTCATATGTTTTCCAATAGTCGCCCTTAACAAAGCTGAAAGTGTGTGGTTCACAACCTCCGTTTGGCCGTCCGTTTGAGGGTGACAAGTGGTAGAGAAAAGGAGTTTAGTCCCTAGCTTCTTCCACAAGGTTCTCCAGAATTGACTCAGGAATTTGCTGCCCGGTCAGAAACTATCGTTCTCGGAACCCCATGTAATCTTACTATCTCCTTAAAGAACAGATCTGCGGTTTGTGTTGCATCGTTCACCTTAGCACAAGGGATGAAGTGCGCCATTTTAGAGAATATGTCCACCACGACGAATATAGAGCCTTTATGGTTGATCTTTGGTAACCCTAGGACAAAGTCCATAGATATATCAACCCAAGGAGCCGTCGGAATGAGTAGGGGTAGATATAAGCCGTGAGGATGAACTTTGGACTTGGCCTTCTTGCAAACAATGCACCTTAAACAATGAGCTTCAACCGTTTTCTTCAAGTGTGGCCAGTAGAAGTGTTCTTTGACCACGGCTAAGGTTTTGTCAACCCCAAAATGCCCCATAAGTCCTCCTCCGTGAGCCTCACGCACAATTAGTTCCCTTAAGGAGCAATGAGGAATGCAAAGACGCTTCTCTCTAAACAGAAATCCCTCAAATATGTAGAACTTTCCAAACGCTCCTTTGTTGCACTCGCCAAATATCTCCATAAGTTCTTTATCTTCTTGGTAAAGCTCCTTGATAAACTCAAACCCCATGACTTTGCTCTCCATTGTAGAGATTAAAGCGTACCTCCGTGATAAAGCATCCGCCATAATGTTGTCTTTGCCTTTCTTGTACTTGATGATGTAGGGGAAGGTCTTTATGAAATCCATCAAACGAGCATGTCTTCTCTTAAGGTAAGTTTGTCCTCTAAGGTGCTTTAACGTTTCATGATCAGTGTGGACCACGAATTCTCTTGAAATCAGGTAGTGTTGCCATGTCTCCAAAGCTCTCACAAGGGCGTATAACTCCTTGTCATATGTAGCGTAGTTGAGTGTAGCTCCTCCTAGCTTCTCACTAAAAAACACTACTGGCTTCTTGTCTTGAGTTAGCACC